CTTTACCGTATAACCACAGCCTACCTTTCAAGTGTTTTCTACTTCTACCCTCCTCCACATACCCGCATAGGAAGCTTCCACCACAGACTACATGCCACCTCCAAACACATCCTCCATTTTCACTTTTCCCCAGGCTGGAATTGACTTGTTTCCCTTCCCAACCTTTAAAGCCTGGCCCAAATGCCTCTTCTGTGAAGCTTTTCCTAAATCCCACCTTCCCCTGGTCAGAGCAGAATCAATTGTTCCCACTGTCCTTTGTTTGCACATCTGTGCCTCTGGGTTACAAATCATTATGCGTGTGATCTGTCTTTTCCAGCAGATTACCAGCTCCTTGAAAACAGAGGGATTCAGTTACTCATCTGAGGGCTCCCAGAGCCCACCTGCATTAACAGTCTGCTGCAGAGTGAACATTTCAGTAAATGATGGCTGAATTCTACTGAAAGGACTTCTGGAAACTCAAGGTGTTGATCTGAGACAACTTCTTTAAAAAAAAAAAAAGATTTTATTTATTTATTCATGAGAGACACAGAGAGAGAGAGGCAGAAACACAGGCAGAGGGAGAAGCAGGCTCCATGCAGGGAGCCCAATATGGGACTCGATCCCAGGACTTGAGGATCATGCCCCGAGTGGAAGGCAGATGCTTTAACCGCTGAGCCACCCAGGTATCCTGAGACAACTTCTCACTTTGGTTTATAAAACAGACTAAGAAAATGAGGGAAGGGGAATTAGAGTCTAGACATTCCATCTCCCACTATTTGATGAGAAGAAATGATGCTAATCACACCAAAATGCTGTTTTTAAGAAGGAAGAGTGGAGTAGAGCTTCTGGACTGAAACCTGGGGCATACTTGGTAAGAGGAAGGGGCAGAGAGTATACTATTGAGAGACGAGGTAAGACAAAAACATCAGGAATTAGGACCCCCAACCAACTCAAAGTTTTAAGCGTGGCAGAGGAAAGGTAAGGACTGTATCTCTAGAGATTAAGCTGGGTGGCTTTAAAGAAAAAGACATCTCTACTAAAATGTTATTTTTTTTAAAGATTTTATTTATTTATTCATGAGAGACACACACACACACAGAGAGAGAGAGAGAGAGAGAGAGAGAGAGAGAGAGAGAGGCAGAGACACAGGCAGACAGAGAAGCAGACTCCATGCAGGGAGCCTGACGTGGGACTCGATCCTGGGTCTCCAGGATCAGGCCCTGGACTGAAGGCAGCACTAAACCACTGAGCCACCCAGGCTGCCCCTAAAACGTTATTTTAAATAACATGGTCAGATTGTTCTAGTTGAATCTAACCAACAATAGAAAGAAACTCTATGTATCTCAATACTTATTTAACTAGAAGAGACAAATGCCAAGGGCTCACTGGCAACTCGACTATTTTTTTTTTACTCTTTATGGATTTAAGGAATAACACCTGAGTCACAGTAAGGAGCGTTAAGTCTAAGTTCATAATCTCAGAAGTGAGCTAGGCTGATAACGTTTCTGGGCCAGAAATGATAGTTCCAGTGGAGAGCTGGTAACAGGGAAAGCAAGCCACTATGTGTTATATAAACACGTATACCATATATTTCTGATATTAGATACGTATGTCTAGTATAAAAAGATTGTATTTGATAAAGGCACTTCAAAGGGAAAAAATCACTGTAAGACTAGATCGGGCACGTTCAGGATGGTATGGCTGTAGACAAAAACACAGTAAGACACCCACACCATGTTCAATACAGAATGAGTAGAGCAAGTCCTCCTCAATTCAGTTAGTTGGAAGACCCTTGTTGAAATAAGGACAGTGAGTACCTGAAGTGCGTCCTTTGTCAAAATGGTCTCTGAATATTTTTCTTCTTCACTATTTTTTTTAATTTTTGTTTAGTTTTTATTTATTTATGATAATCACACACAGAGAGAGAGAGAGAGGCAGAGCCACAGGCAGAGGGAGAAGCAGGCTCCATGCACCGGGAGCCCGACGTGGGATTCAATCCCGGGTCTCCAGGATCGCGCCCCGGGCCAAAGGCAGACGCTAAACCGAATGTGCCACCCAGGGATCCCACTATTTTTTTTTAAAGATTTTATTTATGTATTTGAGAGGGAGAGGAGAGAGAGAGGGAATGAGAGTGCAGGAGCAGGGGGAGGGAAAAGCAGATTCCCAGCTAAGCAGGGAGCCTAAGGCAGGGCTCAATCCCAGGATGCTGGGATCATGACCTGAGCCAAAGGCAGACACTTAACCGACTGAGCCACCCCAGCGCCCCCTCTTCACAGATTTCACAGGCAAAAATCAACAAAAACCCAAACAAAACAAAAAACAAATTGACTAAACAGTGGTGGATTCAGAGTTAATAATTATATAGTAGCTTCCATTCCAAAGGTTAAAATTCAAAACACAAATGTCACTATAGATATCTAGTATTCATGGGCAGAAAGAAACAAGGGTACCAGGTGGGGATCGGAGCACTGGGTATGAGGGTGGTCGGGAAGAGGGAACCCACTCATTACCAAACGTTCTCTTCTCTGCAGGAACTGTAACTACATAATAGCTGCTGGTCAATGCTAGCATCCATCCAAATGGAACAAAGTACAAAAGCCACCCTGTCCCCAAAATAAGTATTGGAAGTGCCAGAGAAATGATAAGAAAGCGGCCTATGATCAATAAACTGCAATTAGGGCATGACATTGAAGATCCCCTCCCACATCTTCTTGCCAACTCCAAAGCTTCTGTGACCTGCTGGCACCTCCACTTTCCATCCTTCCACTGCCAAAGAAGTGGATCTGGTTCCCACCGTCAACTCAGAGGCCCACCACTGTTCTTCCATTGGGGTGAAGCAGCCACAAGCCCATGGCTCTGATCTCCTAAGGCTCCAATATTCTTAAATTAACCCTCTAGCAGTATTATTACTGGATATTGAGAACACCCTTTCTTTACCTAAATGTAGAAATAGATGCAAAGGCGAAGCAGTAAGTTTGTTCTATATTTTGTTCTGTCAACATCTATATATTTTTTAAGATTTATTTATTTATTTATTTATTTTAGAGAGAGAGTAAGAGTGAGCATTGGGGGAAGGGGGAGAGGGAGAGGGAGAGGAAGAAAGAATCTCCAGCAGACTCCTTGCTGAATGAGAAGCCTGACCAGGGGCTCAATCCCACAACCCAAGCTGAAATCAAAAGTCAGACACTCAACCAACTGAGCTACCCACGTGCCCCCAACATCTGTACTTCTTAACTTTATCAGTCCTAAGGGTTCTGACTTTTCCAAGAAATAAAATTTCTTTCTCCTGCCAGTTTATGATTTTAGCTAGGGAAAAGAACCCCAACAAGATCTTGATGCTAGCATTGACCAGCAGCTATTATTAAAATGGAAGGGTCCCAGCCCTACAAAAGGGAATATGTTGGGCCAGAAAATAAGCTCTAGTTCTTTCACATGCTATTTCAAACATACAGAAATAGATTCTGGTGGGGGAAACAGAGGATACTTCAACAGATAAATAACAAATTGTGGTACAGTCATATAGTGGAATACTATTCAGCCACAATAAAGGAATGAAGTACTGGCACCTGCTACAATATAGATGAATCTCAAGAACATTATGTTAAGGGAAAGAACACGGACACAAAATATCACAAAGTGTAGGATTCCATTTATATACAATATCCTGAATAGGTAAATCCACAGAGACAGAAAACAGATTGGTGGCTGCCAGGATCTGGGGGAAAGGGAAATTAGGGAGGAACTGCTTAAGGGGTAGGGGGTTTTCTTTTGAAGTGATGAAAATGTTTTGGAACTAGATGTAGTGGTTGCATAACATTGTGAATGTACAAAACACCACTGAATTGTTCACTTTAAAGTGGTAACATGGTTTTACATGGTTTCTGTCATACGAATATCGTTCCATCTTAAAAACTAATTTTTAAAAGAAAGGATACTAGGCGGGCAAAACAAGATGCAGATGTGAAAAGGCAGCCCATAAACTCCCAGGGAAAAGATAAGTATTTTTTCTGGAACTCTGCTTCTACTCTTGATCACAACGCAAAGTTCAAGCACCAAGCTGTACAGACTCTGCCATCAGCCGTGTGCGAGAGTGTGTGTGTCTATTCCTTTCTGAAAAGACAGGGAAGAGAACAGAAACTGAAGAAAATAGAATGGTAAAGCCTTGCCAAACGCAAGGGAAGGAGGGGTGATTCCCCCTGCTGCACCCCACCCAACTTGGCACCAGGAGTAATGCTCCCATTAGGGTTTCGAAATGCCAGCCGGAGCTGGAATCAGCACAAGCAAGCTTCTCTGCCTGGATAAAAAGCAAGCCACCCAGCAAGAAAAGCTGGGGTGCTCCATTTGCTGCCCATATTGGCAGCAGCACCACCCTTTGCTCAAAAGCCCTGAACTGGCCTAGATCAGCATCAGTGGCTGGCTTTCCCAGGCCAGCCAGCCTAACAGCAAGAGCTTGTAATAGCTCCACTGTGCCCTCATCCTGAGGGGTCCCGATCCGCTTCATCCCGCAGGCCTTCCAAGAGTCTGGCCTCCAACACGTTAAAAACGGAGCCAAGATGCCCTCGGAACTTTTCCCTGTCCAGCTTGAAATAAATATCCTCTCAGCCCCTCCTCCCTCTCAGGCCAGCTCAACAGCCGCCGTACCCCTACCCGCACACACGTACACAAGGCATCACTCACTGCCTCGGAGACCTGCTGCCCGGGGGGACACGAACGCGCCCCCCATGCCTCAGCCTCGCACCAGCCACCTGACCTAACTGCCCTCTCAAAGGCCCCTCACTCGCTGAGCACCGCGCCTCCGCCACTTCCCTGACACCCAAACAGGTGTCCCCAGCTCGACACCGACGCCCCCTCGAGCCTGTCCACCCCAGGCACGGGAGCCCCTCTCAGGACCCCTCAACTCTTGGCAGCAGCACTCCTCCGGCCCCCTCCAGCCAGGCAGCGACGCCGTCTTCAGCCCCCTCCAGCCAGGCCTCGACGACCCCCAGGCCCCCAGGCTGGCCCGGACGCCCCCTCCCCCTTACCTGCGGGGGTTCAGCCCTGGCTGACAGGGGGCTGGGCAGCGCCTGGAGGAGCAGGAGCGCCATGCCACCCAGGAGCCTTCTCCTCTCCATCCCCCTCCTGCTCCTGCTCCTCCGCCACGGCGCCGCCACCTCCCTCCTCCTCCTCCCTCTCCTCCTCTTCCCTCTTCTTCCTTCTTCCCTTCTTTTCCTGTTTCACTCTCCCCTCCCGCTTCCGGCTCTGCTCCACCCCGCCCCAGCCCAAACACCCTCCCACACCCCGGGCAGGCTCTCCAGTTCCAGCCCTTCGTGGGCCCCTGCCCTTCGCCCATTGACCAAAATAGCTGTCGATCAAATAGAAGTTCCGCCCCCCCATGAAGACGGAAGACCGGAGGGATCTAGCCAATGAAAAGTGGGAGGAAGCCGGGCCATCTTGAGTGCGGCACGGTGGTGTAAATGCCTCCCACGCCACCGAGAGTGGCGGAAGTAGCTCCGATCGGGGGCGGGGCCACGTGGTGCGAGCATTGACAAGCCTCTAATCCGGGTGCCGCCATCTTGAGCGTGGCGGAAGTAGTAGATTGCTGCACTTCAGCAAAGAAAGGGAAGGGGTAAAGTGATTCTAAAGAGCGTCAGAAAAGAGATTGTGTTTTAGAAGGTAACAGGGCGCTCCTTAAGAAGAAAACAACTGCAGTCTAAAAAATCTTTTGACGTCTTTTGCTTTGAAACGCAGCCCTGGTACCAGGGCCCCTCTCCTTGGTCTCAAGACGCCCGAGTGGTAGTTTAAGGTTAATTTGAATTCTACGAAATAGTAGCTTTACCTGAGGCATGGTGCTGTGTCACCCCAAATCTCGGGAACGAAATTCTGTTGATTCTACCTTAGAAACAGATCTGAAATCCACTCCCATTGTTTCCATCCCCATTTCTCATCTTGCAAAATATAAACGGTCTCCCCTGCTGGCCCTAGCTGCCAAGCCTTCCCTCTCAATTCCTGCTGCGCTCCCCAGCAAGGGTGCTCTAGACAAAGCCAAACATCATTGTCTTAAGGCTTTCTCTCTTAAAAATACTAAAACTACCTAGGGCATATGTAGTCCAATCTCCTCAATATGGTCCTCTCTTGTGTCCTGACCCCTGCCTCCTCCTTTTTAACTCATAACCTTCCGCCACTACATTTTCCCACACTTACACCAAACACTTAAGAGATCCCCAGTGTGCTGCGCTATAGGACACATTGCCATACAGTTCTCTGTTTATAAACTCCTAGCTCCCCCCCCCCCCCCCCCCGCCGCCACCGCCCTTGTTTCTTCTGGATTCTCATAACACTAACACACATTATATCTGATCTATAATATCTGCCTGGCTGACACCTCCCACTAAATCTGCAGCTTCTTGTATAGCACAGCAAGTCTTACTCTTTTTTTTTTTTTTTTTTTTTTTTTTGAGAAATCCCTACAACATCCTGTACAAGGCCCAACCACGAGCCCAACAATGTTGGTAAAGTAAATGAACAAATGAAGACCTAGGCTGGAGAAGCCAGATGCCTGTAGCTGCCAATTTCCTCTCAAAATCCTGCCAAACCATTTTGCAGGTTGGCCTAGTCTAGCCCACAGCTGAGCCCAGAGGGAGTTTGTTCTTGGCTAACTGGTGGCAAAGTAGGAAACAGGTAAAAGTGAAGAATTTGGCTCTGTCCTCAGCTTAAGAACATACACGGTTGGGCAGCCCCGGTGGCGCAGCGGTTTAGCGCCGCCTGCAGCTCAGGGCGTGATCCTGGAGACCCTGGATCAAGTCCTACGTCAGGCTCTCTGCGTGGAGCCTGCTTCTCCCTCTGCCTGTGTCTCTGCTTCTCATTCTCTCTGTGTCTCTATGAATAAATAAATTAAAAATCTTAAAAAAAAGAAAGGACGTCCATAGTTTTGCCTCTTCTTGATCCTGCTTTCCCAAGTGTTACAAAAGGTGACAAATATTTTTGCCAATCTCAAAAGCCTTAGAAATTCATTCATCCAATCAAGCTCCTTAGGGAAGAAATAAAGATTCAGTATTAGGCAAGGGCCAAACTACTTTCATAACACAGGGTGTCAGTCCTGGCCTCAATTTTTTCTAAGTCCTCCTATGTAAAAGCCAGGTATTATCATCATTAGGAAACCCCAATAGTTTCAACTTAACAAACACAGGATGTTTTATCCTAACTTCCCTTCCTTTCTTTACCTGAGAGCTTAAACTGAGCCACTGGATGGGACAAACACTAAAGCCTGCCCAGTCTGGATTAGTATTTCCCAGACAAAGTCATTTGAGTCACCCTAACCACCTTGCTTTCCACATCTCACAGGTGCCAACTCAAAGAAAGCAGAGAGGTCTTACAAAATGGAACTGAGATGCAGTTTGAATTAGTGTGTTTTAAAGTGCCTCTAAACTATAGCCACCACATATTCCAGACTTTTCCAAAAAAGCCATTGTCTATAAAGGGAGGAGGAATGCCAGAAAGATTTAGGAGCTGGGTAGGAAAGGAGAAGGTTGTCAATTCTCAAAAGAACATCAGTGTGGGGGCGCCTGTATGGTTCAGTGGGTTATGTGTCTGCCTTCCGCTCAGACTGTAATCCCAGGATCCTGGGATTGAGCCCCTGTTGAGCACCCTGCTTGATGGGGTGTCTATTTCATCCTCTGCCCCCTGCTCCTGCTCTCTCTCTCTCTCCCTCTCTCTCTCAAATAAATAAAATCTTTAAAGAATCAGTTTGGAAATGTTTCCAAGCTCTGCTAGCTCTGGTAATGTTTGTCCTATTTGTCTTTGGAAATGCATTAAGTGGGATCCCTGGGTGGCGCAGCGGTTTGGCGCCTGCCTTTGGCCCAGGGCGCGATCCTGGAGACCCAGGATCGAATCCCACGTCGGGCTCCCGGTGCATGTGTCTCTGCCTCTCTCTGCTTCTCCCTCTGCCTGTGTCTCCCTCTGCCTGTGTCTCCCTCTGCCTGTGTCTCCCTCTGCCTGTGTCTCTGCCTCTCTCTCTCTCTCTCTCTGTGTGACTATCATAAATAAATAAAAAATAAAAAAAAAGGAAATGCATTAAGCTGAAGCCAGATCTCCTACCCTAAGAAAACTAGCTCAATGACACAGTTTTCTGCTAGAAATCAGCTAAAATCAAATTGCACATGTTACAGCATGGATAAACTTTGAAAATATTATGCTAAATGAAAGAAACCAGACACAAAAGACTACACATTGCGTGGATTTCTTTTCCGTGAAAAGTACAGAATAGGTCAATCTATAGAGGCAGAAAGTAGATTAGGGGTTTTTGTGGGTTTTGGTGGGTTGAAGGGGATGGAGAGAGACAGCCAAAGGGTACAGAGTTTCTTTGGGGAGTACTAAAAGTATTCTGAAATTAGTGATGAGGATTGCAACGTTGTGAATATACTAAAAAAAATATGCTGAATTATACACACTTTAAAAATATGAATTTATATGAATTATATTTTAGGGATCCCTGGGTGGCGCGGCGGTTTGGTGCCTGCCTTTGGCCCAGGGCGCGATCCTGGAGATCCGGGATCGGATCCCACGTCGGGCTCCCGGTGCATGGAGCCTGCTTCTCCCTCTGCCTGTGTCTCTGCCTCTCTCTCTCTCTCTATGACTATCATAAATAAATAAAAAAAAATTTTGAATTATATTTTAATCTTGAAAAATAGGGAGAAAATTAAATTGCAGCCAGAACCGTGGCCTCAGGGAAGAGGCTTTTTCTTTAGAGCAGTAGTTCTTTTTTTTTAATACTTTTATTTATTTTATTTATTTTATTTATTCTAATTTAATTTAATTTTATTTTATTTTATTATTTTATTTTATTTATAGACACACACAGAGAGAGGCAGAGACACAGAGGGAGAAGCAGGCTCCATGCAGGGAGCCCGATGTGGGACTCCATCTCCAGGATCACACCCCAGGCTGCAGGCGGCGCCAAACCGCTGCGCTACTGGGGCTGCCCTAGAGCAGTAGTTCTTGAAGTGTGCTCCCCAGACTAATAGAAACCACATCACTGGGCAATTACTAGAAATGCACATTCTCAGGTTCCACCGCAGACCTACATAATAAATTCTGGGGATGGGGTACCACATTTTTTTTTTCATTTTGATTCCAGTTAACATACAGTGTTATGTTAGTTTCAGGTATACAACATAGTGATTCAACAATTCTATACATTACTTAGTGCTCATCATGGTATGTGTATTCTTAATCCCCTTCACTTATTTCACCCATCTCCCACTCGCCTCCTTTCTAGTAACCATCAGTTTGTTTTCTGTATTTAAGAATCTGTTTTTCGGGATCCCTGGGTGGCGCAGCGGTTTGGCGCCTGCCTTTGGCCCAGGGCGCGATCCTGGAGACCCGGGATCGAATCCCACATCGGGCTCCCGGTGCATGGAGCCTGCTTCTCCCTCTGCCTGTGTCTCTGCCTCTCTCTCTCTCTCTCATAAATAAAAAATAAATTAAAAAAATAAAATAAAATCACCTTTAAAAAAAAAAACAAAAAAAAAGAATCTGTTTTTTTTTGTTTTGTTTTGTCTCCTTTTTTTGTTGCTCATTGATTTTGGTTCTTAAATTCTATATGAGTAAAATCATGGTATTTCTCTTTCTCTGACTTATTTCACTTAGCATTATACTCTCTAGATCCATCCATGTTGTGCAAATGACAAGATTTCATTTTGTTTTATGGCTGTGTAATATTCACTTGCATATATATGTACAGCATCTTCTTTATCCATTCACCTATTCATGGATATTTGGACTGCTTCCATAACTTGGTTATTGTAAATAATGCTGCAATAAACATAGGGGTGCATATATCTTTTTGGTGTTTTTGGGGACACGGGTGGCTCAGCAGTTGAGCATCTGCCTTCGGCTCAGGGCATGATCCTGAAGTTCTCGGATCAAGTCCCACATCAGGCTCCTGCAGGGAGCCTGCCTGCTTCTCCCTCTGCCTCTCTCTCTCTGTGTCTCATGAATAAATAAGTAAATCCTTAAAAAAAAAAAAAAAAAAGAATTAGTGTTTTTGTATTCCTGGATCACATGGTAATTTACTTTTAATTTTTTCAGAAACCTCCATACTGTTTCCAGTTCCATAGTGGCTGTACCAATTTGTATTCCCGCCAGCATTATCCACATCCTTGCCAACACATATATTCTTTATTTATTTTTTATTTTAGCCTTTCTAATAGGTTTGAGGTATTATCTCATTGTGGTTTTGATTTGCATTTCCCTGATGATGAATTATGTTGACCATCTGTATGTCTTCCTTGGAGAAATGTCTGTTCATGTCTTCTGCCCATTTTTTATTAATGTCCACACCCAATGTGAGGCTTGAACTCATGACCCCAAGGTAGAGTCTCATGCTCTACCGATGGAAACCTTTTCTGCCCATTTTAAAATTGGATTATTTGCTTTTTTTGTGTTGAACTGTAATACATTGTGTATTTTGGATACTAACCCTTTATCAGATGTCATTGGCAAGTATCTTCTCTCATTCTTTCAGTTTTGTTGTTTCTTTGGCTATGCAGAAGCTTGTTTTAAGATTTTTATTTCAGAGAGAGTGAGAGAAAGCACAAGCAGTAGAAATGGGTAGAGGGAGAAGTAGACTCCCTGCTGGGCAGGGAGCCCAGATGTGGGATATAGGCTTGATGTGGGGCTCCATTCCAGGACCCCAGGATCATGACCTGAGCCAAAGACAGACGCTTAACTGACTGAGCCACCCAGGCGCCCCAGAAGCTTTTTGTTTTGATATAGTACCAATGCTTTATTTTTGCTTTTGTTTCCCTTGCTTCCCTCAGGAAACATAACTAGACTCACAATCTGTGTTTTAACAACCCATCCACAGGACTCTGACACATGTTCTAAAAACCATGGCTCTAGGGCAGCCCCGGTGGCGCAGCAATTTGGCACTGCCTGCAGCCTGGGGTGTGATCCTGGAGACCCGGGATCGAGTCCTACATCGGGCTCCCTGCATGGAGCCTGCTTCTCCCTCTACCTGTGTCTCTGCCTCTCTCTCTGTGTCTATGAATAAATAAAATCTTAAAAAAACAAAAACAAAAAAACCCATGGCTCTGGAGTAGGGGAAACTTTTAGTATAAAGGGTCAGAAAGCAAATATTTTATGTTTTGCATGCCACATATTCTTGGTGTCTCCCCTTCACCCCCTTAAGAATATAAAACATTCTTAGTTCCAGGCACACAGAAACAAGTAGCAAGTGACTCTGGACCCTGGCATCATAGTTCATCAACTACTGCTCTGAAACAACAGTTCCCATTTTGGAGTCTCCAACAAAGATGGGTGGACTTTTCCTTTGCAGAATAGGAAATAAACAATGGCCTCCAGGCATCAGAGCAGTTCCCCTTACAGTTCTTGCAACCTCTTCCACACCAAGGACAAAATCAGACCAGATCCTGCTTTCGTTCCGGCTTTATTAACTCAGTCTGCAGACAGTTCCTTGTGCTCTTTCAAGAAATTTATTTGATTCACAGTGATATCCTTTGAATGGTCAGTAAATTCTATTAGAACTCAATACAGAGATTGAAAAAAAAAATGAAAAAAAAAATACAGAGATTGATCCCAGGTAAGCCACAGTGGTCCCCTTCCACCCCCACCCCAACCTCCTGAGCCTGAAAAATCACCTAGAGCAGCTGAGAGGGAAAAGGATAAATGGCTGCACTTTGCTGTGTGTCCTTCCAGGCTCTTTGGTCCTGGTTGATTACTTCTCAGAGATATCCAAATAAAACTTTCCTATTCAATACACACCAGTCTTTAGTGTTTAGCCCAATGGGCTGAGGAAGAGAGGCAGCTAGGAAAATATACCCACTAAAATGTGTAATTAATACCTCCATTCAATCTGTCTTACTTATAGTTAGTGGACTTATCTTTTAAACACAGAGACGTAAAATTGGACAGGATTTTGGCACAGAACAGATTCAGTGTTACAGGCTCAGAGCACCATGAAACTTTGTAGCCTCATGTGATGGCCTTTTTTTTAAGCACTAAGAACTCCCAGATGCCTGATCAACCCAAGCCTAGCAGCACTCCCAAAGACACCTTCTGACAAGGGGGCACTGGGGACAAGAAGGGGGAAGAATGGAGAAGAGCCCCAAGGGGACAAAGACTTCTTCCCTCTCCCTTCCTGGGTTAGCTAGAATTACAGGGGCAAACATTCTGTATTGTGACACAGATGAGGAAGAAGGGAAGAAGAAACAGAGGTAGGAGCTTTCCTTAGTCCCAGGGGCTCTTCCCCCGTCCTGGCTGGAACTAGAATCCCAAAGGTTTCCTAATTTTTTCATATGGTTTGCTTGAGTATCTCCCCCCAGGTTCTAGCAACTTCTCCCCAGGATGTCTCAACTCCTGGTCTCCAGGGGATGGTGGTTAAGGGGGTAGCAGAAAGAAGACTTGGCCTTTGCTCCCGTTGTTCACTTCTATCCCCTGGAGTCCAATAACCCAGGTGCCTGGATGAAAACATGAGGCTCCCCACCCCCCAAATGCACCCTAACTTTCAGGCCCCTTTGGCAGAGGAATGAGGGCACAGGTGTACAAGGCAGCTAAGGAAAGGCTGGTGAGTATGGGTGCAGACTGGTCCTTGCTGGGACAGGGCATTTAGAGGCCCTTATTGAAGTAGATATAAGGCATAAGTTCTCCATACTTGGCCTTGATAGTGTCTTGGAGTTCTGATTCCAGATAAGAAACTGACAATTCACTGAAAAGAGAAAAGAAGGGGATTATGGGCATGCCAAATGGATAAGTAACAAATTACCAGCAGATAAAATCTAACTCAAATGCCACCTCTAAGAAGCCCTTCCTGATTTTTGCATCAGAACTAATGGCCCCTGTACAACATATGTTGCTTTTTCTTCTACTCAGGCCTGACTGTATTCTCCCTGCTGCTAAACTTCCATCTTCTCTGTTAGATTATAAGCACAGTGCTTGGACCCAGGCGATGCCTGCAGAGGATACTGAAATATGAGTAGGAAGGCAAAGGAACCTGGTATCTTCTTGGTGTACATCCAAGCTACACCTAGTCTCCTGGAGCTAGTCCTCTCCCTCCCCCAGTCTGATGCTTTGTTTCCCTCTTCCATCATCACTTTGCACACTCCTTCCCTGCCAAGGCATACAAGGGAAGTAGAGAGGTCCGAGTCATCCAGCCCCAAGCGAACACAAGCCAGAATAAGTACCTATCCCTTTGTTCAATTTCAAGGACCAGATCTAGCCAGAGAAGATGTGTCTAACAACCCAACCAACGGGGACAGAAAGTCTCTTGTTCCCCTACTTCTCTCCAGGGCAGCCCTTCCTCGACTGGGAGGGAGCAACTCATCTCTCTGCCCCTGAGAGATCTGTTTTGGTTTACCATTCATCCAGAGTTAAGAGGCCCAGAGTTTAGGCTGATAGGCACCTGTCCTTGGCAAAGGGTGCCCTTACTGCCCATCCTGGTCTGCTTCAGGACAGCAGGCAGGTCAGGGGGAACAGGAACAGGGCATTTGGTAACGTGAGGAGCAAAGAACTATTACCATTTCTGTGGGAAGAGCCCACATGCCACTGGCACCATAAAGATGAGGCTGGAAGAAGAAGAAACAAATCGTTAGGGACATCTCCTACAGACCTGCTCACACCCCATCTCTGAGCCCCCCGAAGGAAGTAGGGAGATGCCCATCACTACCCTGCCTTCCACATTGCCCCATGGCTCCCCTTCCTGCAACTCTTCTCCTGGCCTCTCAGTGCCAGGATATTTATTCTGGCATGGCATGAAATCGGCCTCCTCTACCTCCCATCCCTCACTCCACATCCACCTGTCGTTCAAGCAGGTGAAGATAATAAAGGCAGGAGAAGATAACAAAGGCACTGGGATTATAAGTAGCAGCCCTAAAGAACACAAGCACTGAGCAGTGAGGAGTATAAAACCCAAGGTTCTGCCCCTCTGGCCATGAACCCCTAGGCTGGCCAACAACAGAACCAGGCAGTCTCTCTAACCTCCCTGAGCACACAAGCACCTGGAGGAGCTCATTAAGAGGCAACGCTGGGCAGCCCGGGTGGCTCAGCGGTTTAGCGCCGCCTACAGCCCGGGGTGTGATCCTGGAGATCCTGGAGACCCTGGATGGAGTCCCACATCAGGCTCCCTGCATGAAGCCTGCTTCTCCCTCTGCCTGTGTCTCTGCCTCTCTCTCTCTCCTGTGTATTCTCATGAATAAATAAATAAAATCTTAAAAAAAAAAAAAAAAAGAGGCAACGCTAATGCAGTAGGCCTGGGGAAGGGCCTATAGTATTTCTAAGGTCCTCAGATGCTTCAGGGCCAGAGCCCTGTCTTACAGGACATGGGAATCTGACAGAACAGGGTTCAGATCCCACTTGGCTACTCACTTGCTGTGTGAACCTGGGCAAGTGAGCCCTGAGCCAGCAGAGGGAGGACACGAGTGCCTGTTCTGCAGGGCTGCTGTGGTGTTCAACCCATGGGAACCACTCACTCAGGGGTGACTCAATAGCAGAAGGTAGCGTGGTGTGTGAAACTGTCGGGAATCAGACCTGAACTCCAGCAATTATGAGCTACAGAGCCCTGGGCAAGTCTCATCTCACCAATCCTTGGGATCTTCGTTTGTGTTTTTTTTATTTTTATTTTTAAAATTTTATTTATTTATTCATGAAAGACACAGAGAGAGGCAGAAACATAGGCAGAGGGACAAACAGGCTCCCCGTGGGACTTGATTTCAGGACCCCAAGGATCACAACCTGAGCCAAAGGCAGACGCTCAACCACTGAGCCACCTAGGTGTCCCGGGTTGTTCATTTGTAAAAGGAGATGATGACAGGACCTAGACCTTTGGGGCAGAGGGGATTAAGTGAAATTATAGATGTGGAGCATGAGCACAATGGGGACACACAGAACACCTTCTGCATGTGTTGGTTGTTTCTGTTGCTGTCATTAGCCCCGTGGCCTCACAAAGTGTTACTGATGCTAGGATGTGGCGAGTCACTGGCAGGCACCGAAGCACGTTGCCGTGACCAATAGTGTTTTCCTTTTGTGTGAGGTTGGGACACCTGAAGCCCCAGGCTGTCCCCTCATTTTTTTTATGTCTCAGTATATTTATTTATTTATTTATTTATTTATTTATTTATTTACTTATTTACTTAGTTTATTTATATTGAGATATAGCTGATATACAACATTGTGTACAGGTAAGATGTATAACATGCTGATTCAATACAGTGATACGCTGCAATGTGACAACTAGAGCATAGGCTAACACCTCTGTCACTGTCATAGAATTATCACTTCTTTATTTTTATTTTTTTTTATTCTTTATTTTTAAGTAATCTCTACACATCCAACATAGGGCTCAAACTCACAACCCTGAGATCAAGAGTCGCATGCAAGGCAGCCCGGGTGGCTCAGCGTTTTAGTGCCACCTTCAGCCCAGGGCGTGATCCTGGAGACCCGGGATTGAGTCCCACATCAGGCTCCCTGCATGGAGCCTGCTTCTCCCTCTCCCTCTGTCTCTGCCTCTCTCTCTCTCTCAGTGTCTCTCAGGAATAAATAAATAAAATCTTAAAAAAAAAAAAAAAGAGTCGCATGCTTTACCAACTGAGCTAGCCAGGCGCCCCTAGAATTATCATTTCTTTTTTGTGGTGGGACTGTATTGTGGTTTTCATCTCTTCCTGAGTCTGCAGGTCAGAGGACAGGAGGGAGCCCACACATGCAGATGTGTGCATGGGGCCTAGCCAGCCTGGTGCCCTCAACAAAGATGGGGCAAGAGCTCTCTGGATGGCCCACGGGTGTTCTGAGCTCAGGCACTATGGAAGTCAGGTAAAGGAGTACATGTTCGCCAGCACGGGAAACACAAGAAGATAGTTCTTAGGACCATAGGACCCAAACCAAGAAAACATGCTACTCACAAGCACCCAGACAGTAGAACTTGCAATGGGGCATGCAGGACCTTGACTTTCTGCACAAAAACAAAGGAAAGACCCACATAAGACATACAAAGGCTCTTAATGTGAACCCCACACCTGCCCTACCCCTGATCAGCCAGCTGGAAACCCACAGGCACAAAACTCCTGGCCATGAAGGAAAGGAGAGAGGGGCTCCTCTCGCTCTCTGCGGTAAGGCCAAGCAACAGGCTATGGCATCTAAAGCAGGCAGCTGGCAGGGACTGGTATGGGCCCTTCTTGAGCAAGATGAAGGCCAATTACTAGAGGGAAGGATGAGGATCAGGAGCTCTTATGTGTAGATGTGGCTGGGGGGCTCTGGGAAAAAGAGATGCAAAAGCGAACCCCACTCACCTTCATGAAATGCAGCTTCTCCAGCCTTTCCATGATGACTGGCAGCAAGACTGGAAGAGACCAGGGAGAACCCAATGGGAGGGCTGTAAGACTCTCCAAAATCAGATCAGGGACCAGGTGATTCCCCCCACCTCCCCAAAAGTTCCAGAAAATACTTTTGGAATGGAAGACTGTGTAGGCATGGTCACGTCCCCCAAGACCTAGCAGAAGGGTGCTTCCCAAACTTCTCCCCCTGCACACCTCTAATAGGGCATGTACCACAGGCCCAAAGAGTCCTTCTCAAAACTCAAATCTTTGAAGGTTCATGCAAACCAATCTCGTATCCTACTTTGTAACATATCCCTGCTGGATGCAAAACCAGGGCAGGGGATTTATTTTCTTTACCACTGTCTTCCTGGCACCCTGCACTGTGTCCAACACTGTGAAGGTACTTAAGGAATATCTGTGGAATGAAAAGAACTTTCTTCCCTAGACCTCTGATCAACTGATGTTCCAAGATCTACAGTGTGGTTCTCTCATGGGTTTCTGCATTCAGCACTATGTAGGACACACAGAACACCTTCTGCACTATGTAGGTATACCATATACAACATGTGGATTTGATACATTTATACACTGTAAAATGATTACCACTGTAGCATTACCTACAATCTCTATCACATCAAGGAATTTTTTTATTGTGGTGGGAAAAGTTTGAGAAGCATGGCTGTAGAGGCTGGGGCCCCACCTCCCATCCAAAAGCTAAGTGTGGCTAAGGCCTCCATCATGTGTTCCAGGGACTGCCAGGATGGGAGGACTTCTCTATCTTACTCATGCCAGGGGCTGCCATGGTGATCCGAGAAATAACCACTTGGGTGATGCCTATGGCTGCAGCTCTCTGAGGAAAGAAAAGAGTAAATTGTCAGGAATGACCCTTTCAGTATCCAAAGGGCTGAGTCAAGGGTCACGGTCAAGTCAGACGTGGTAAAGGGGAAGGGGTGGATCCACCAGGGGCTGTGTTCTCACCCAGCTAGACTTTTATGGCTTCAGGACCAGAAATGATGGAGAAAAGACATGACAAGCCTGTTCTGAACAAGAAATGTAGGGAAATCAAGGGGAATGAGAATGGAATCAGGGGAATCCTGTAACAGAACGAGGGCCTGCTCTAATCAGAGTAGTAAGAACAGGACAGGGTATAAGAGAGAATTCCCTCCTCCCACCCCAAAGGGATGCCTCTGCTTACCCGGGAATGTCCAATCTCATTGTTATTCCTGTCCTTCACGCAGATGCCCTGGATGAGTTCCCTAAACATGGACAGGAGTTGCTGGACGTGAGAAAGGGGTCCTGGAAGCCTGCCAGTGATGTGACACACTAGGGGACCAAGCACACTCAAGCTCTAGGAAGCCACCTCCTGTAGCCTGGCCCTTTGGTCTTCCTTTTGCATTTCAGTGAGTGGTGTCTCAGAAGTGATCTAGGGCAGTGGCTAAGAGAGCTAGGCCGGGGCTCAGACTGCCTGGGTTGAATCCTCAAACTGCAGAGTAAGTTTCTGAACTGCAGCAAGTTCCCCAATCCTTCTGAAGCCTCAGTTATCATCCCCTGCAAGATGGGGATCAGACATGGCACCCAGGTCATAGGATTGGTGATGATTAAAGGAGACAATGCCTGCAAAGTGTTTAGTTCAGCGCCTGACACAGAGTGCTCCACAAACACTAGCCATGCTTCTTCTCAGGCCAGTTCCTGAAAGCACTCAACCCCAGACCAGGTAGGTGGCTGGGATTCCTTCCTTTGTTGGGAAGGAGCACCTGGATGGGGGAGGGAAAGAGGAGAGGAACAGTGTGTATGCATGACTATTCTGGTAGTGTGCTCCTTCTGCAAGAGCTGTTGTGAAATGTACCCATTTGCTGGCAGTCCCAAGAAAACGTGGCTTGTGAATACTGGTGTTGGTGATGAAGGTGATGATGATGGTGATGGGAGCAATAAAAGCTAACACATACCATGTGATATCTCCCAGGCGCTATCGTGAGTGCTTTATGTATACTACATAATTAAGTTTTACAGCAGAAAAAAAAAGTTTTACAGCAGAGGAATATCTATGCTTTCTCTAGTCAAAAAACAAGAACTGCAAGACACACGGGTTTCTCCTTTTACCTTTCCTGCTGTGAAGCTTAGAGCCAGGTGCCTGGAAAACATCTATCTATTCCTCTGGCTTATTTCAAAGCTTCTTGGCTCTGTTCTATCTTTGGACACCTCCCTCTGCTACATTTCATTCTGTAAGCCATCAACCAGGGCTTTGGAAGTAGGCAGAGCTCACAACTTCAATACAGTTGCAGTTGAAAGGACATGATCTTATATAAATCCCCATAGGTCCACCCCACTCCCTGCCATCCCACACCATACAAACAATGACTCCCACAATACTCATCATGGATTAAACTTAAGTCACCTGCCACTCCCAATGGCCATCACCGTTGGAGCAGCCAATCCTTTGGAACCTTTCAGAGGTGCAGCCCAGCGACCCTCCCCATACCCACCTCAGTCCCCAAAAGCCACCCACTGCCATGGTTTCCTGCCTTTGCCCCACTAACCTTGTAGTTTGTAAAAGGGATCCCCATACTCACTGCTGTCGCATCATTGGGATGTTGACACAGTTAGCAGCAGCCACAGCAGCAAAGGGTACCCAGCGGCCCACCAGGGGTGGAGCTCTCTGTTGGGGGAAGGGAACAACAGAGTTCACTGGAGATGGGAGGGGAGGGGGCTTAAGGACTACAAAATGTAATCAGACTTCACTACTGATGCATATTCAGACACTTAGTCTAGGAACCCAAATTCCCTCAAAGACCCGAGAAAGAACAACCTGGGGAGAGTTCTGGTACATTTCCCACTAGTTGGCTGGGCTCTGGCCATACCCAACTCACCCAAACAAGGGCAAAGCCAGGCTTGGGAGGGGGAATGTTTTCCCTAGGACTTTGCTGCCACCTAGTGGCCACCATGCCCACAGCAGCCCCACACAGTACCTTTGTCAACATGTTCATGCCCACAGCAGTGGCCACCGCAGTGGTTGTGGCTGTGATGTAGGAAAGGGCCATCTGCCTAGTGAAGGAGAGACACGCTTGGGAGTGGGGAGCCCTGCCAGCTGAGGGCAAGACCATGGCTTGATTGAGAAAGTCCGGAAATGAGGCTTCAAGCCTGAGAAGCTCATGAGCACTCTCCCCAGTCTCATCTTGTGACATCCCCGTCCTAAGCACACACACAACGCTCCAATCCCATTGGCCCCCTTTCAGTACTTTAAATATGCCAAACTCTTTATTGCTTTAAAACCTTTGCATGCTGCTGCTCCCTCTCCAGGAAATTCTTCTGTAGGCTAAATCTATATCCTTCAGAAATCAGCAGAAACATGCACTCCACAGAAAAGACTTCCCCAACCAGCCCATCCACACAGATGTCCCTCTTCTGTTTGCTATCCTGTCACCTGTTTGCTTCCTTAATGGCAGGAGTCACAAGCCAGGATTACAGTGCTTGTTTGCTTTAAAATACCTCAAATTCCACAAGAATAAAGACCCTAGAACCATGCCTGGCACTTAACAACTACTCAAGAAATAGCTGAAGGTGCCTGGGTGGCTTAGTCAGTTAAGCATCTGTCTTTGGCTCAGGTCATGGTCCCAGAGTCCTGGGATCAAAACCCTGTCAAACTCCCTCCTCAGTGGGGAGTCTGCTTCTCCCTCTCCACGCCCCCCAACGCTGCTTGCTCACTCTCTCTTAAATAAATAGAATCTTTAAAAAAAAAAAAAAAGAAAAGAAAAGAAATACTTGAGAATGAATGAATGAATGAACTTTGGTCTAGGAAAATATTCTCTTAGCCGCAGAAAATACTTGCAAACCCTAAGAGGGGGGCTTGGTCACCAGCTCTGTGTGACTTTCACCCAAAGACAGCCTGAGAGCCCTTCAGAAGGGCTGGAGACAAGAGGACAGGCACCTGTGCTCCATACCCAGATGGACAGCCTAGAATTCCAGTCTCCTACCTGCCGGACGTGGGGGAAGCTGCATTCCTGTTGGTGTAGTTGACTAAGGCATTGAAGGACTGGTTCACCCATTGCCAGAAGATCACCGCCGGCATCGTCCTACCATAAAGGAGGCCCAGAGGGCAAAGAAGAGTCCAATGGAAGGGAGGCCTTGGTGTACACCAGTCAAACCAGACTGCCTGCTGTTCCCCAAACTGTTCCCACGTTGTTTCACGCAACAGGGCTTTTGCATAGGCTGGAGTATCTACACACGCGCGCGCGCGCGCGCGCACACACACACACACACACACACACACACACACACATCCTTCCATACATGGCTAAATATTGCTCTGTTGAGAGGTCACTTCTTCTTGGGAACCTTCGTGACCCTTCCTTCCCCTGCCCTTCCTGGAACAGTGAGTCATTTTGTGCTCCCTGCTCTCACAACTCCATATTCTCCCTCTGACCTACCACCTAGCAAGCTGGGCTATAACTGTTTACTTGTTGGTCTCCTCAACAAAACTGGAAGCTCCTTTAAGGGAGGGGCTAAGTCTTTATATTCTCAACCCCAGGCCCAAGGCCTGGCTCAATAACTGGACAAATAGATGCATGGGGGAGGGGAGCAGAAGTAAGAGAGGAAGGAGAAGGGGAATAAAATATCCAGTAGCTACAGAGAAAGTTTATTCTCTCTCCATCAGGCTGAAAAGGTCTTCCTATTTTAAGGGTGGTATGGGGGGAGGTCATCTCATATTTTTTACTAGGACATCACATTATAAAAATACATTAGGGGCACCTGGCCAGATCAGTTGGTTAAGTGCCTGACTCTTGATTTTGGCTCAGGTCATGATGTCAGAGTCGTGAGATCAAGCCCCAGATCAGGCTCTGCATTGGGGGTTGAACCTGCTTGGGATTCTCTCTCCCTTTCCCTCTGCTCCTCCCCGTGGCCACCCTGTCCCCGTCCTCCTCCCCCACCCTCCACCCCCGTTCACGTGCTCTCTCTCTAAAGAAAGTACATAAATGAAATAAATTCTAAAATAAACATACATTAAAATTTCATTGTTGAATAAGTACTTTCTAAAGAGGGGATTAGGATGGCTTATTCATTGAGAGAGTTCTAGAGACAACTACCTCAAGTTAACACCCAGGCACCCATATTTCCTGGCTGTGTCAACTTAGACAAGTTACATAACCTCTCTAGAACCTCGGTTCTTCATCTATAAAATGGAGATGACGATAGTGTCTCTCTGTAGGGCTGATGAGAAAATTAAATGGGGTAACACACAGAAAGAATTTAGCCCAGTGCCTGGTATTTGGGAAGAGGTCCATAAAGATGGTTATTATTCTCATCACAATATGGCTCCCTGCCTAGCAGATCCACATGGACACACTGCCCACTGCCTCGCTCCCAGGTTCTACCTGTAAAACTGGAGCATGAAGCCCGTGATGATCATGCCGCCAGGGACCTGGAAGGACATCCGCCCAATGACGTTCATCTTCTCCCCAGTGTCAGGGTGGAAGGCTGAGTCATACAGCTTCTTGGCATACAGCAGCTGCTCCACTTGGGTGCCTGGTGGCACGACCCCCATTCTGCCACCCAATGACAACACACAGAGTTACCTCCCAGGCCCCTCGCCCCAAGTCATCCTGCTCCCTCTTTCCCGAGAGCTCTGCCTTTTCCCTCATATTCAGTCTCCACCTCCTCTCCAGGGGATCTACCAGTGTGATCCCAATGCCTCCAGTCCCTTCCCGTAACTGCTCACCTGCTCTTCTCCACCATCACTTTGGCCCAGTCCAGCTCCCGCTCTGGTACCAGGACAGTGCGTGGGTCTGTGATATTGAAGAAGTGTTTCACCCGTCCCAGGAAAGTGCACTGGTCCCAACGGGGGGCATCGATGTTAAAGCCAGACAGATCAGTCTCCATGTTGCTCACACACAAAGCTGTGGACTTAAGGAACAGAAGGAAAATGAGGATTGTCCCCCAAACCAAAGTCTGCCCCTGAGGCCCTGAGCACCTCTCATTATAGAACCTCTGCTTTCATCAGCCACTAGCATCACTTGACTAGGCTCGGGAAGGTCCCAGTGAATGGGCACCAGACCAAGTAGCCAGGCCAACATGTTTCCTGAGTACCTGGGGTAGCCAACCCTGTGCTGGATCATGCTGTAGGAGATGCTGGAAAAAGGGACAACACAGTGCCTGTCCCTGTGTCCACAGTGCCTGTCAGTTACACCCTGAGCTGAGTGTAACTGGGGAAGAACGGCCTACCCAAGTAACGGAATATAATCTATACAGTAACGGTAAGTACAAGAGATGAGAGAAAGCAGAGACGGGGGAGCACGGCTAGAAAAGGAGGTTTCCAGGGATCCCTGGGTGGTTCAGCGGTTTAGCGCCTCCTTTGGCCCAGGGCGCGATCCTGGAGTCCCGGGATCGAGTCCCACGTCAGGCTCCCGGCAAGGAGCCTGCTTCTCCCTCTGCCTGTGTCTCTGCCTCTCTCTCTCTCTCTCTCTCTCTCTCTCTCTCTGTCTATCATAAATAAATAAATAAATCTTTAAAAAAAAGAAAAAGAAAAAGAAAAGGAGGCTTCCAGAAGAGATGGAATGTGAGCCCCAGAAGACAGATTTATCTGAAGGAGGGAGAAGGCATGGATCATATTCAAAGTAGGAACAGTTACAGACAAAGGTAGAAATGAATGTGGCATGATCACTCTCATTATTTGTGTGTGTGTGAGTGGTGTGTGCACGTGTATGGTGCACGCAGCCCTGTGGAAGATCCCAGGCCATGGCTGTGGGTGAGGCACCACGCCTGCCCTCAAGGAGTTACAGAATGGGAAGTAAATGACAAGTAGAGCAACAAGGATGGCAGTGTGGACATGTCATCCTTGGCATGAACAATGATGTGGACAGACAGTGAGGGCAGTGGGAAACCAGAGAAGCAGCATCTAAAAGTGAGATGACCATATCTCCCAGTTGTCCTAGGACTGCTGTCCTGGTGTGATTATGAATAGCAGCCCCTTTCACTCTCAAAAGTGTCCTGATCTGGATGATAAATTATATGGTTACCTTATCTAAAATGGTTGAGACATTCTGAACACGTTCTGTGAAAACAAGAAATAAACAATGTTTTGAAGGATGAGTAGAAGTTAGCTAGCTAGGTAGAGGAGACATTCCAGGCAAAAAAAAAAAAAAGAAGAAGAAGAGGAAGAAGAAGAGCCAGTGTTAACGGCACATAGGACACATGGGGACCAGATAATGATGATCACACCTAACACCGAGCTTTGACTCTATGCCAGTCACTTTGCTTGGGACTTGATGTGCATTTTCTGAATCCATCTTCACAATACTATGAAATAAATACCCTTTAATCTAACTCCATTTATGGATGAGAAAACCAAGGCACAGAAAGTAACCTTACCAAATCACACATGCATAGCCAGTGACAAAGCCAGGATTTTAATTCTGCCTGATTTACTTTAGAACTTTTGCCTCTAACTGGGTTCTGGTATCCATGTCTTGAAAAACTAAGGCAGGTCTGACATGTAAGGAGCTTGGAAACTGTCACTCCTGTCCTTCCAACAAGAAAAAAGCTGAACAAACTAAAAATCAGCAACTCTTCTTAGACCCATCAATGAATTGAGGTCACAGGGCAAACCACCATCCCTAAACATGGAGAGACAGGCAAGTACAGAGAATGACAGCTTGCTGGGAACAGAAGCCCTCCTCTGGGTAAGTACCATTGGAAAACTTAAACTATAACTGACAAATTGCTGGAAGCTCAATGTGAACAAATTAAAAATTCCAAGGGGATTCGATCTTGAGTGTGGGGGCCACACTTTTGAGTTTACCTTCAGGAGTCCACCAGGTTCTCAGGGTGAAGATCAGAGAAAAATCATCTAGTACTTCTGACAGGGAGATGGAAAAAATAGTCTTTTTTTTTTTTTAAGATTTTATTTATTTATTCATGAGAGACACAGAGAGAGAGGCAGAGACATAGGCAGAGGGAGAAGCAGGCTCCATGCAGGAAGCCTGATATGGGACTTGATCCCAGGACCCACAACCTGAGCCAAAGGCAGACCCTCAACCACTGAGCCACCCAGGTGCCCTGAAAAGTAGTCATTCTGAAGTACACCCAGAGCCCCCTGTTCTTCTTAACAAGGCCTGTCCTCAAAAGAGCCTATTTTACCAGAGCCTAGCCATTTGGGTTTTAGTAGAATCTAACTTATTTGGGAAAAGGTAAATACCCAACTCCAGCCCTTCCTAACCTTCCTGTTTCATTTAAAGAAGGTGAGAAGAGCCTGAGAAGCACTTGTGAAGGTCCAGGGGTACAGGCTCACTCAAAGTCTGAGAACTAATCACAGGACTATAGAACACTCTCTCTTCTCACACACTTGACCACTATAGGTGGTACAATGCTCCTATGTGATAACAGGGAGAACTGAATAACAGAAAGAATCACAAGTCTCAGACCCTATTTAAGAATTAAGAAGTCTTTAAAAAAAAAAAAAGTCTTTAGAAACCTAAAGATAACAAGAGAGACAAAACAAGGACACCAAAGAAAATGTTAACCTCTGCCACCTAGAGTTTCCACAAACAGTAAATACAACCTAACATCTCACCAGATAAATGTAAAACTGCACACACATCTGGCTTTCAACAAAAGAGTACAAGGTATACTAAAGAACAAAACCATAGTTTGAAGAAAGAGCAAGTGTCAGAACCAGATGATAGAGATTTTGGAATTATCAGAACAGGAATTTAGGGGCGCCTAGGTGGCTCAGTCAGTTAAGTATTAAGCATCTGCCTTCAGCTCAGGTCATGATCCCAGGATTCTGGGATTGAGCCCCACGTCTGGGCGCCCTGCTCAGCAGGGAGCCTGCTTCTCCTTCTCCCTTTGCCTGCTGTTCTCCCTGCTTGTGCTCTCTCCCTCTCTCTTTCTCTTTTTTTTTTTCTCTCTCATTCTCTGTCAAATAAATAAATAAGATCTTTAAAACACAGACACACACAAAAAAAACTGGGACGTCTGGGTGGCTCAGTGGTTGAGCATTTGTGTTTGGCTCAGGTCGTGATCCTGGGGTCCTGGGATCAAGTCCTGCATCTGACTCCCCGCTCAGCTGGGAGTCGGCTTCTCCATCTACCTCTGCCCCTCCCCCTGGCTTGTGCTCTCTCTCTCAAATAAATAAATAAAATCTTTGAAAAACAAAAAACAAAAAACCACCAAACCCTCAATTATAGAGAATGAACTGATGGTTACCAGAGGGGTGGTAAGCAGGGGGATGGGTAAAATAGGCAAAGGGGATTAAGAGTACACTTATCGGAATATGAATAATAGTGAAAGGGAATATAAGGGAAGGGAGAAGAAATGTGTGAGAAATATCAGAAAGGGAGACAAAACATAAAGACTTCTAACTCTGGGAAATGAACTAGGGGTGGTGGAGGGGGAGGAGGGCGGGGGGTAGGGATGAATGGGTGACGGGCACTGAGGGGGACACTTGACGGGATGAGCACTGGGTGTTATTCTGTATCTGTATGTTGGTAAATTGAACACCAATAAAAATTAATTTATATATATAAAAAAAAAAGAGTACACTTATCATGATGAGCACGGAGAAATGTACAGAATTGTTGAATCACTATGTTTTACACCTGAAACTAGTATAACACTGTATGCTAACTATACTAGAATTAAATTTTTTTAAAACTCTACACCTGGGGACACCTGGGTGGCTTAGCAGTTGAACATCTGCCTTTGGCTCAGGGAGGGATCCTGGAGTCCCAGGATCAAGTCCCACATCAGGCTTCCTGCATGGAGCCTGCTTCTCCCTGTGCCTGTGTCTCTGCCTCTCTCTAGGTCTCTCATGAATAAATAAAGTCTTAAAAAAAAAAAATCTACACCTAGTCACATTATATTATATTCAAACTGCAGAAAATCAAGCCAAAGAAAATCAAGGAAAGGGGTGCCTGGGTGGCCCAGTCAGTGAAACATCTTGCCCTTGATCATGATCTCGGGGTCTTGGGATCGAGCCCTACTTTGGGCTCCCTCCTCAGTGAGGAACCTCCTTCTCCCTCTCCCTCTGGTTCTCCCTTCACTTGTGCTCTCAGTCTTTCTGTTGCTCACTTGCTCCCTCGCTCTCTCTCACTTACTCTCCCTTTCTCAAATAAATAAATAAGATCCTTAAAAAAAAAAAATCAAGCAAGAAGTCTGAAGCAAGGAAAAGAAAACACCTTACCTATAGAGGAACAAAGATATGAGGAAGTTCACTTCATTGAATTTCTCCTCAGACGCCATGCAAGCACAAAGAGCACAGAGTGAAATATTTAAAGCACTGAAAGATAAAAGCCCCACCAACCTAGACTTCTACATCAGCAAAATTATCCCTTACAATGAAGGAGAAATACAGGCTTTACCAGACAAGCAAAATTGAGGGAATTTATTACCAACAGACCTGTCTTGCCAGATGCTAGAAATTCTTCAGAAAGAAAGTGATATAGGTCATAAACTCAGACCTACCTAAAGAATGTCAGAAGGAATAAATGGAGATAAGATAAAATTTTTATTTTTCTTATTCCAATTGTTAAGTTAAACAGATAACAGTTGGTTCAAAATAATAACAGCAACAATGAATTTGATGATTATAGCTTATGTATAGGTGAGATGAATGACAATAGGGCTATAATATATGGAAAAGAGAAGCTGGGGATACTGGTATAGATTACCTGTACTACTGGAGAGGTGCTTTAGGGTAATTCTTGATCTTGGGGTTGTGATTTCAAGCCACACATTGTAGGTAGAGGTTACTTAAAAATAAAATCTTTAAGGGGGCTCCTAGGTGGCTCAGTCAGTTAAGCATCCTACTCTTGGTTTCAGCTCAGGTCATGATCTCTGGGTTGTGAGATCGAACCCCACATCATGCTCTACATCAATGGGGAATCTGAGATTCTCTCTTTCCCTCT